AAATCAATAATTTTATTGTCAATTGTTTTTTTTTAATGAAACATATTTATTTAATTATTGTGCGCGTATGTGTGTGTGTGTGTGTGTGTGTGTGTGTGTGTGTGTGTGTGTGTGTGTGTGTGAATATAACAACAATAGTTACCAACAGAATCAATGTTATTAAAATCATCATCCACCAACCCAATAAATCAATCGATGTCAATAAACCAATCAATATCATCACCAAAAAAAGCGCCAATACAGGATAGGATAGGAAAACCTGGTGGGGGTGTGGGCGAGCATACACCTCAGAAACAAATCAATGGATATTACATGTACGATTTTTCTCAAGCTCAAAATGGATCAAAATCTTTAATTTTAGTAAGCAATTGTTATTATATTTCCCTATAAAATTATTATATCTGCTAAATATCTATTTTATGCATTTTAATTTGATTGACTAATTAATTGCATAACACCAGCCAATGGATTCATCGCCATCATCATCGAAATTAGATACAAGTTATAGGCAAATATTTCCATCAGTTAACGCATCTCCATCAAGTACAGGTCATGTCAATACAACTTATACAACAAAGAACTTTTCAGCCAGTAATAATTCATATTCTCAACATAATAGTTTAAGATCAGAAGAAAATGCAAAGATAAATACAAATTATACATTTCCACAACAACAACATCCTAATAATACAATAATAACACAAGGAACGCCAAGTTATCTACAAGCACAAAAAATTTCTTCGGTTAATGCTACATCTTATTCACAGACACTGCCTAGAGAAGAACGTACAGCATTGGATCAACTTGCAGAGGTGGCAGAAATGAGATTAGGGATAGAGTTTGGAATTGATTAAGTATTTGATTTGCTGATTTGTTGACAAATTTATTGTTTATTAATTTATTAATTAATAATATTTTCAAAGAATTTTTATTTTTCCTTTCCCACTCTTTATATCTTTCAATCAAACTATTAAGTTTTTTTGAACTATCAAAAAATTAAAAAAAAAATATTATTTGTTAAGTTTTATTATATATAATATATATTTGTATATATATTTGTATATAAAAAATTTTAATCCGTTTTATTGAAAAAAAACAACTTTTACATGCTTTGAATCTTTAATAATTTATGTCGACTTTAATAATCAAAATTGTAAACAAATTGTAGAAATCAATAAATCCATCATCACTCCACTTTTTTGACTAAATCATAATAAAGCAATGCTAATCGAAAAAAAAACTGTGATTTGAAACGTATGCCTCAATTTATAATTCTCTGTGATTTTCATACTCGTTACAAAGGCATTTGGTCTGCTGGTGATTGAAAGGAATAATAATTCTATTTTAAATTTATTTGTTTTCAATTTATTGATGTGCGTTCAATAAGCTATTAAGTAAGGTTTCGTTAATATTTCGCAGAAGTACAATTGGCTGGTAAGTATGTAGATTCATGTTCGATTTCGAAAAAACCTCGTTAAAAAACCGATTTGTTGGCATGTACGAAAATCTGCAGAAGATTCTAAATTTGATTAGTACAACGATACCATATTTTTATTTTGGCGTAGTAAATGATTTCTGCTGCACCTTTGCGTGAAAAGTTGTATCATACTTTTCTCTTACTAGATAAAATATTTTGTGTATGCATTGAAAAAAAAAATAATATTTACTTTGGGGGACGTAAAGATCAGTGTTTCCGCAGTAAGTTCATTGATTCATAGACGGAGAACATTTCTTTCTACTGATTCTCGAAATTATGCATTAGTATATTTTGATCATTTTATGATAGCATCTATGTAAACAGGTCAGCTGTTTGCAGCAGGCAAATTTGCAAGAAATACATTGCCTTAATATTATCCTGATTTATGTGTCTTTATCACTAGATTTCTATGATAACCGATGAGAAGATATGCATCAATTCTACCAGTTCATGGGAACTTTGTGCTGCAAATGATATTGTCAGAGAGCAATGAAAATTATTTATTTAATGCTTATACCAAAATTCCTCAAAATATTATTTTATAAATAAAAAAATGGACTTTTAAATACTAGTCTTGAGTAATTATGATGATGGTTTCATTAAAAAATGATCAACATTATATTGTTGTAATTTGATCCCCGAAAGTTCTTATCAAATTTTTTTTTAAAAATATCCAAGTTTATATTTTATGAATAAATTAAGTACTTTTGATCAACAAGAAGTTGAAGAGGTTGATGAAGGTGAAGAATTTGAAGAAGAACAAGAAGTATGAAAACAATTATTCAAAAAAAAAATTTAAAAAGTTATACAGATATAATAATATATTTGGATAATTTTGGTAGGAAGATGTTGATGATATTTGGGATGATAGCGCTTTGGTAGCTGCTTGGGAATCTGCTGTCGATGAATATCAGGTAAATTATATATAATCAATGAAATTATCTTTAATACCAAAATCATTACTACTGTTATTATTACTTATTATACATATTGCATATTTTCAAAAACAAGAGTTTTCATAGCATTAAAAATAGCAAAAAATCTAATAAAGAAAAAGATGTTAAATCGTCACCACAACTACAACAATCATCATCACCACCACCACAACAACAACCACAACAACCACAACAACAACAACCACCACAACCACAACCACGATATAACTGTATGATATAAATCAATTAATAATAATAAATATAACGAATGAATTTTGAAACAGTCATAACAACAATAAATTACATACATCCAATTCTTGTTGTAACCTTGCTTGTTTTTCATGAGATTCCTCCAATTGTGAATTAGATTCTTTTAATTTTTTACTTAATATATTAAGATCTTTCTGTAATAATTGAATTTCTATAGAATATTTACTGGCTTTCTCTTGATCCTATACAATTTTTATTAGTCAAAAAAATATGT